ATAATAAAGACACTTTTGATCTGAGACTGAAGATGTGAGGTTGTTCTGTTATGCTTCTCTGTGCACGTAAAGTGAAAGACTGAGTCGAATCTGGAGTCATGTCGGAGCCCATAGATTAGTTAATTCGTTAATGGAAATTGATACACTGGAATTCAGTACAGTTATAAATTAAAGCTAAAGTCATTTTAGACGGTTCACAACACAAGGTATGTACTGGCATGATTATATAATTATCCATTGGTATATAAAGGGGATTTTACCAAGAGCAGGCTTCATTGGACTTTAAGATGAAGATATTTACGGTGTGATCAAAATATTAAAATGCGTTTTGAAGGAGAAATCCAGGCGCAGATTCGCTTCTTTCTTTCTTTGTTTCTAAATGCGTGAATGTTGTTAGTCATTCAGTAGAATAAGAATGATGAATACATGAATAACTCTGGAAGGAAAACCAGAGCAAACATGGCGTCGAAGAAGCTATCTGGGTACGGGTGGGAAATCCACCACTGAACAAGAAAGGAAGTCTCATGTTAATTTCACGCACATATGGGCTGGGGCAATGGAGACTTCTCCTTGCCGACAATAGATCATTTAATCAGCCATCCAGGTCATTTACAAAGTGAAAGCTATCAACGTTGGTCGGTGGCCTAATGTTAGTTGCAGTGTCAGTCATTTGTTTTTATATTTCTTCTTGTTGTTGTTCTACTTATTCTAGTATCGTGTGTATGAGATTCGAGGAGGCCACCAGATACCTGCGTTCCGTCTGTGTGACACCATGGGTCTAGAAGAGGACCAGGGACTAGATGTGGTCGACATGTCCTATGTGCTAGATGGTCACGTGCCGGACCATTTCCAGGTCAGTGATGTATTACTTAGCTCCCGGAGTCGAGAGTCACAGGGAAGACAGAGGCATTCTGGGCCCCGTATATCGAAAGCATCGCTTATGGCGAGCGGGCGCAAGCATGGCGATTCCTCTCTACCCCATATCTCGAAAGCCTCGCAAATCGCGACCGTGCGCTAATAGCGAAATCACCATTAGTTTCGAGATTATTTTTTGCGGTGAGTAAAACCTCTCGCAATGGCCTCTGCGTATGCATAATTTGTCATTTTAATGTGTCTTTCATGTAATTAAACGTGGTGGCAAGTTTGAGTTGCTATGATAATAGCGTATAACAAAACATATAACAAAAACATACAAGCTTATAAAAGATTAAATCACTCGGTACCTCTGATAGAAAAACTTCACGTGAAGAATGCTAAAGTCATGTTTTATTATGCATAAAATTTTCAAAATTAAACATTTCAAACATCATTTTATATTTTCTGATCAATATTATTCATCTGTGTAGTATATTGATAATAATCATAAATTTAAAAAGTGTCATTTTCTACACAAAATGAAAAAGCAGAAACAAAGCATTTGGTTGCACCGTGACCTTCCTCAATGTCTATTATTGTGAGACTGAACACTTCTCACCAATGTATCAGTAATTGTGTCAGTCCAAGCTTCGCTTATTGAATTGTTTTTGACATTTCATTTGTGTCAAATACTTCAAATATCAGTATTTGTGATTATGATATTCCTATTATGACGTCTTCACTTTATGCGGCAATCGAATTTTAGTAGAGTTTGAGGTTATAATATATTGCGTTGCGTTTGCTAAGGCTTCGAGATAGCAGGTGGGTGCAGATAGCAGGTGGGTGCAATCGCACTCGCAAATAGCGTGGAATCGCTATGCTTGCGCCCGCTTGCAACGAGCGAAGCTTTCGAGATACGGGGCCCTGATGGTAAAGAAGCAGGTGTCTAACACCCTGACAGTTAATTGTTATCCCACCCTAAGACTTTAATTATGGGATATGCAACGTTAGGCTATCGAAAATGATTCAGCACTCTTTAAAATTTCCAAATAAATAACAATCAGATGAGAAATATTCATTGTGCTAAATTCATTATTTGATTTGAGTTTAACTAAATGGTTTTACCTATTTTTTTTAATTAAAAGCCTCTTACAGTTTTCGTCAGAAGTAGTAATGTAATAAAGTGCAATTAAGTTTATATAAATGACACTTTTTAATCTAATTTATCTAATTTATCTCCAGTTTAACCCGGCTGTGCGTATCACACGTAAATCTCCTGGTTTTGTGAAGGATCCTGGTTTGGCTGACGTCATTCACTGCGTAGCACTTGTCATAGATGGCAGCACATACAAGGTCATGCCACCCAAGGTCAAGGACAAATTGCTGGGTATACGAACTCTGGCACGTGACAATGGTAATGTCTATATTTCTGTAACTGATTTTAAAAATTATTATGTTTTTGTTTTGATATTTAATTACTTGCATGACAGATGTGGCGCTGTGGCGCGATTTCGAATAAGTTAGATAGGCCTACTAATTTTCGAAAGTCGTTTTCTTTTAAAGGGGTGCGATACTCGTACATGTACTTGTATATACTTCCACGTAGTTGTAGGGAAGACGGGATATATCAATGAAATTGGCCTCGTTTGCTTGAACATACCCATTAATATAGGCAAGTGAAGGGGTGGAAGGGAGAAGTCTCATGGGTAACATATCTGAGCCTCGCCTCACTGAGTATGTATATAGACCCTGTACACTCATCTGCTGGGGTCTTGTTCCTGGGAAGTGCATGTAGTTTAATTGTTGATTGATGAAATATTCAGACTTGATTATTTGAAGGTGTAATTGTCTTGCTGACTTGACCACAGATCAGTGTGTACAAATAATGCTTTAAGAGTAGGAATAATTTAATCACTGAAGTTCAAACTCTTGCAGATATCCCTGTCCACGTTATCTTGACCAAGGTGGACAAAGTATGCAAAGACGTAGCTGAAGACCCATCTGTGATATTTCACAGTCGTCTGATTGAAAAGAAAGTGAAAGAAATCAGTGACGCATTCGGTATACAGAGTAATCACGTCCAACCCGTGAAGAACTACGAGTCCGAGACCTCCATTGACCCCAGAGTGGACATCCTGACACTGAACGCCCTCAGGCAGATGACCGGAAGTGCCGAGGACTACATTGAGGATCAACTCGACGACATGGAGGAGGAGACCGACACCCAAATGTCTAAGATGAATATCAAAAGTTAACTGCGAGGATGCCCGGTGTCATGTACCAGAAGGTCCCCCATGACAGAAAGTCCGGGACCCGTTATTTCAGAAACCAGGGGTCCTACAGACCCCTGGTTTCTGAAATAACGAGTCCCGGACTCTGTATCATGATAATTGAATATAATATACATTGTCCCCCGGACCCTGCATTTAACCGGACCCTACGTTTCATGACAGCTATCACGAAACACAGAGTCCGCCCGTCATACAGAAGAACTTGGTCTAAAAGCTAGGGTCCTACTGTAGAATAGTAGATATTCAGTAAAAGCGTTTTATATTGACAATCTGGGTATAATAGAATTATAAAAAAGCAAACCCTTGATGCAAGTAAATGTAATATAACAAAACGGCGGTGGTTTGCCCAACGACCTGGTGATGTAGTGGACAGCGACACGGGTGATAAGCCTACTATGGTATCCAATGTCAGGGAAGTATGCAGAAATTAAACAATGTGTTGGTTCGAGTCCCACACTAGAGTTGACATTTTAACGCCTCTATTTTCACTCTTGTTTTTTAAATCTATAGTTAAATATTTAACTTACTGTCCATTTATAGTGTGTCATTCCGCAATAATATGTGTTATACTCACTTTTGATTACATTCCATACCTTTTTTAATTGGACTTACTTAAAATATTTCACACATATCCCATTGCATTGTGATGCTTTGGACTATATACACGTGTGACTTATTTGATTACCACTCGCACATGTGTGCAAGCTAGTGATACACAATGAATTGGTGCTAAACTGTGCAAAACGTTCCTTTTATTTAGACTATACGCGTGACTTAGGCTACAATGACATAAATGTGTGACATAAATGTGTGACAGCTAGCGTTATACAGTGCATCAATGCCAAATTGTGCAAAATATGTATTTTCTGGAAACTGACGAAATTAATTAGTTATTAAATATACATGCTTATGGAGTGTAATTAAAAATGTACTCATTTAATTTTGTTTACCAATTTATATAAAGTTTTAATTTAAGTTGCATAACCTAAATTAAAATTGAATCAACCCAAAAGGAATGTGTTCCATGTTTCTCAGGGTATAAAATGGCTAGCTCTTCGCGATGTCTTACTCTGTCAGCATGGATTTTCAAGCAGTGCGACCTTATTTACAACATGGCAGGTACAGAAGACGAACAACCGACAATCAGAAAAGAGCAATAAGGAGAAGCGCTGCAAACCATTATAAATTAATTATAAGTTTTATACATTAATAC